TTTTATTTTGTGGAAACGATGCTTAAATCACATTAACATATGCATAATATATCTAGAAGTAATTATATTGGCAAATTCAATACGAAGTTAATTTTGTATGGAACATGCATGAATTCGCTTGATTTGGTTCGATAATTAGAGGAAGTGGTCCATTGCCTTTGCTAGCGTTCTTTTTGATTTACAACATTCGTTTCTGCTTGATATGATATTTAAGTGATTTCAGATTACGTCATACAAAACAACTTCAAAAGATTCGGATCAAAGAATATCTTAAGATTCCATTGGGAGTTTTAAGAATTACTTTTTCATCAATTTCAAAGTAAAACAAATTTAACGTCGAGTTTTTCTTTTGATAAATACTTAAATATCTTTATCAGATTTATCCAATTTTTGTGGAAAAGACGTGATATTTCACTATTTCAGTCTTTGGACAAGTGACTGAACTTTCATATTAAGTTACAAATAAGTATTTATTGCCCTTGAAAGTTGACATATAATATTATAAATGCGAAAGATTAAGTGGATGGATGGATGGATGGATGTTTCTTACAAGATGTCACCGGAACAGCTCCACGGACCTTGATAAAATTTGACACAGATTTAGAACATAGTCTGGAAAAACAGTAGCCTATGTGTTCTTAAACCATATTTTTTAAACTATGTTATCTTGTTAATTGTTATAAAAACGCCTCTTAAAATAGATAATAAGTACTCAAATATGTGCAAATGTTTTTAGATGTCGTTTAGGTCATAGAGTCGGATATATTATTGTAGATAATTTATTGCGGAACAAAACACTTATCTCCAATTGAAAGTCACGGCTCAATAGCTTGCTCTCGGCCTCACTGCCCGCATCGCTTTAAGAATAAGCAAATCAGAACAACTAATTTATTTATCTTTCATTCCTATTCATATTCCGCTTTATAAGTTTGAAAAAAAAACAAAAATAAGAGACAACGTAGCGGTTTATTAAAATGTAGAAAATGATATCCCGACTTTTGACTATCATGATGAATGTAAACTATTCTGTGTGTTTTCTTACTAATATTATAAATGCGAATGTTTAGATGGATGGATATATGGATAGATGTTTGTTTGAAGGTGTTTCTAGAACGACTGAACGGATCTTGAAATTTTATAATTTGGCATACATTTATAACACTGTCTGGAAGATCACGTAGGCTAATTACGTTTTATTTTAATTTAATTATAAATAAAAAGCATAAATTAAAAAAAAATGAATTAATAGTATCCTATGTCCGTCTCCTGACTCTAAGCTCACCAGTTTTGAGCCATATCGGTAAAGCCGTTCTTGAGTTATAAATAGTGTAACTAACACGACTTTCTTTTATATATATATATATATATATGTATGTATGTATGTATGTATGTATGTATGTATGTATGTATGTATGTATGTATGTATGTATGTATGTATGTATGTATGTATGTATGTATGTATGTATGTATAGATTTCATTAATATAAAAGAGAAAATTTAATAATATATTAACGCATTTTATTATAGAAGTATAACGACATGAGACAAGTTATTTGCTAAAGGTATGCATTAAACATTTTCATTAAACATTGTTTACGGAAGAGACAATTAAGTATTTTCATTTAAATATCTATGTGAAGCTCAGAGAATATCTAAAACAATGATCTCTCGACGACAAGCAAATGTTGCAACTGTAATGAAAGGGTGGGTTCGGGAGTGCACAGAGTAATATTGTGTAGTGCCCGGGGGTGCGAGGGCGATGCCAATCGATATTCTCCCCTGCCACGCGGCCTAATGCACCCCTAACACGACTCTACAGCCCAAAGGAAGCCAACTGCAAACCTAAGACCCTAAATTGGGTCGTTTTTATTAATTTTATCAAACTATTGATTTCATAACGTTGATGGATCACTGGAAGTTTATGATGTGTTGAGGTAAGGTTAGGTTAGTATTCTTTAAGCGCCTTAAGAAAGATACGAGCAAAATTTTGATTTTACAAATTGGACATACTAACCGAGTTGTACATATTGTACATACTTTGTAAACATTGTACACATTGTAAAGTATATTGAAAAATATGATTTTATTTAAGAATTGCATTTAAGAAGATTAATTAACTTTTAATAGACAAAATAAAATAGTCCAACTCACCTGCAATTAATTCGATATTGTCTTTATCTATGACTACTTCTGCGTTTGAAATGTTCTCGACTCCGTTAACATGGACGATACAAAGGTGTGGTCTAATCTAGTCTCTATAGAATATGCTATGCGTTTGTCAAACAATTATCCGGAAGTTAGATTCTTTAATAAGCAAAACACTTTAATCATCCTATTTTGAAAGTTAGCAAGATCCTAATAATTACTATCAAAATCAATTTTACTTAACTTTTTAAATTCCTTTAAAAGAAAGTCGTCAATAACCTTTCAAGTACTTAGCATGCAAACTATGTTACTCGAAAGATTTTCGGGCTGAGAGGTATTGACCTCTCAGCCCGAATTCTGAAGTCCTTGATGCATTGGCATCAAGGACTTCAGAATTGGTAAACATGACTGCATTTGAAATTCAAATTGCATTTAAGGCGCATAGCATCTCATATTCAAGTTTATGCATAGTGTGAGTATTTTAGCAAATAAAATATACTACAAAAAGAAAGCAATTACAAAAAACCTTCTTATTAGAAGTATAATTATACAGAACTAGTATACAGTCCTTAAAATTGTATTGCTTACAAATAATTTAGAAATTTAGTTACCACTATTTTTGTGAATCGATTTTCATACTCTTTCCAGACAGGGGTATTATGACCACTATACGTCAAGAAAGTTATTAAGTCTTATGTTTTCAATAGAAGTTTCATTTATTTTTTTATTACGTTTCTTTTAGTATTACCGGCCAGTATTGTATCGCTAAGACGAATAATACGGATCGTACTCTGTGTAATAACGCCGTGAATCGACCTCGCTGATACGTCTACCAAATTGTGTGCTCCATTTAAGACGATATTAAATCCGATATTGCCGACTGAGCTTTACATTTACTGAGTTTAGATTAACTCGATATTAGTTTTCTATTAAATAAAGATTAAGTAATTCCATCTGGGAATACAAAAAGTGGAATTCAGAATATAGAGTAAAAGTGGATAAAGGTCGGAGTATAATTTCGTTATTGTAATATAGTAGATAGTAGATTTTTTTCTTTTTAAATCGATTTTTTCGGAGACAAGAAACATAAAAGATTACGTCTTTTATCGACAGTGAAGTTTCCGAAATTTTTGAAAAAATATTCATTCGTTCTAAATGTGTTAAAGTGTTGATAGGTCGGCGTAGACGCTCACACCCACGGTTGCGGAAAACTGATTTCCCGAATGTCTAGACTGCTTTCCGCCATTTCGGAATTGCATTACCTTGCGCAGACTTATCAAAAAATAATTCCATTTTTAAAATTGAGAAAGGTGTTGAAGTTTTACTGTGAAATAGATAAATGTAACCAAAGGTTAATGCGCTCTGTTTATTTAATAAGGGTAGCGATCAATTTAAAAAAATTACCTTAGGGAATTAGCTGTAACTATGGGTAGCCACTTTTATAATTTACTGTCTCAAAATCTACTAAAGTTATATTGAATTAATTGTTTTTTTTATTTAATATGCCACTTAATTAACTGTTTCAAATTAATAATCTACTAGTTATCATACTCCTCCATTACCATACTTATTTTTATGAAATTTTATATGCATGTTTAAGTAGATCTGCGATCCGGTTACTTTCTGTTTTTCATACCCCTATGTGATATATTTTTTAATTTTTTTTAAATGTGGTATTAAAAATACATACAACCAAAATTTTTACCCTTCTAGCACCAACCCCGATTGTAGAGTTTTCCTAAATAAATGATATGGTAAAATAACGTTTGTCGGGTTAGCTAATAATATTCAATAATATTAAAAACGGAAAACAATTTTTATATTACTTCATAGCAAATAATCTAGCATTCATAACCGTCTCATGACCTTTCAACAGCGTGCATATTGTTCAGATTAGATCTGCTTTCAAGAGCTATTCCACTCCGGACAAAGAGACGTTGAATGCATAAAACTGTCCGCACGACGCACACACGGACAGTCGTACTGCGGAGGACGGTCATTGAGTGACATTACAAAAGGTATTGTACTCAGGGACTCGTTTATCTCGTGTTCGCCGGCACGACGCTTGTTCCGTCCCGATAACGCTCAAAACACCATTCGCTAGTGACGTCACATGTCATGTTTCCGATAAAACAAGTTTACTACAGATAGTTGTCATTAATTTTTCGCTTGTAAAATATACAATAATCGTGATTTGTTAATGCCGAAATACTTCTTATAAAATTGATAACAGATATGCATTGCTCTCTTTCTCTTTTAAGAAATACAGATAACAAGAATACAAAACAATTTATTGATAAAATAAATTACAGGTCATAAGAGTTCGATTTACGATATTATTTTTTTTTTGTCAAAAAATTGGTCATATGTATATTACTTTCTCCATAAGCCATGTTTTAAAACCAACATGTCTTCGTACAGAAGTAGAACCCAAACAAGTTAGCAGTCACCTGATGTAGCGTAACAATTCGAAATCAATGTCCACAACAATCACTTTAGATAAAGAAGTGTTGCGGTTTTTTTATTCTTAAATATCACGACTCTTTCTGAACTTCATCGTACTGGCTGATACACATGGTGTAAAGTATTTATGAACATAAATTTATCAATCTTAAAATTTATCAGCCTATACTAAACTATACTCTACAGAGATTTGATATCTGTATTGATCTTACAATCAATTGTTAAGATAAGAATAATATGGGACAGTTTGCAGACCATTTTATCAATGTAGTGCTTACTATCGTTGTGGATTGCTCGTGTTTCATAGTAGAAATGCGTACAAGAAAAATATCTCGGCCGCACGCTGACCTTATAGATATAATAAACAAAGTGGCCGAAATATTTAACCTCAGTAATATTAAATACGTTATTGAGATGGGCTACGATAATGACGGATTTGTTGGTGGCGCTCAAAAGGTCAAAATAAGAGGAACGAGAGATAAATTTAAAATAACAAAAAGTGTTATTATAAAATGGCATCCGAATCCAGTTGATCGAGCATGTTTTCGTGAAGCGTATCTCAGAGAAATCGCATATTACAAATATGTGGTACCGAATTTATTGGATGTTCAAAGAGAACACAATATAATAGAAGGCTTAAGAATGAAATTTTCCAATTGCATATTCACGTCAACGGAATACAATAAGGAGAGCATCACAATATTGATAGACACAAAAGATTTTTGCTACATGGATAGATTCTATAAAATTGATTTAAGTCATGCGACGCTTGTTATAAAAAATCTTGCCAAATTACACGCACTCTCTTTTGTTTTGGCTAAATTGTGTCCAAAAAATGTTGAAAAAATTCAAAACATATGCAACAAAGATGTACAGTATGGTGACATTAAAAAAATACCAAATTCGTTAAAATCATATTTTACGGCATCAGTTGCTGTTGTATCGGATTTATCGGCGAAAGAAAAATTAATGGCAATAGAACAGAATATTTTGCTATTACTAAATAAAACTACTTCTCACATTCAAAATTACAGCACAATTTGTCACGGAGATTGTTGGAGTAATAATTTTATATTTAAATATCATGTAAGTTTTTTTTAATATAACAAACATCATCTAGTAATTATCATTATCAGCTCACTATAAGTCCAGTGAGGGTCTCCTTCTATTTTTAGATGTGACTAGGCCATAGCAAACTCGGCTAGCCTAGTGCCATGCTGTAATATTTTAGTAAATATAGCATCAGTAATTTGTTTAAAAACATTATTAATTATAACATATTATACTTTTTAACATCGTAATTGTAAGTACATCTTAATTTCTCGTAATATACAATTTAAATTTAAATTTCTATTTATTTACTATTTAATAATAAGCGATTCGTTGCTCGTTTGCCCCCTTCTACTATTTAATTTATAATCCAATATTGTATTATTTCAGAAAAATAAACCTGTGGATTCATTACTAGTAGACTTCCAGTTAGTTCGCTACGCGTCACCAGTTACTGACTTATCTTATTTCTTCTACATGTCAGCTGATAGACAATTCCTTCACCAACATTACGATCAACTAATTAATATTTATTACGGAACTCTATCTGCAGTTCTAAGGCAATGCGATTTGAATATAGAAGAAATTTATCCTAAAGATATATTTTATAAACATTTAAAAGAATATTCAATTTATGGTTTAATAGAAGCATTAATATCAATGAAAATAATAACAGCGGAACCCGACGAAGCGGCTAAAATGGTGGACATGAAATACAATCATCCCAATGTTCTGTACGAATACGAGTCGAAGAATAGAAATTTGTATATAGACAGAGTTAATAGTGTTGTAGATCATTTCTTTCAAAGAAATTATTCTCTATATAATGTACTTAATCAATAAATAGTTGATAATAATCTTAGCGTTCAATTTTTTAATAACATTTCAGTGTAAACGTTAATAACTATATTTATATTGTTTTGTAAACTTATGTATCAACAATCATCAATCGAAACCATTCTGAAATTCAAATACAAACGAGAATTTTCACAAAGTCAATCGAGGGATCGATTTATGGTTGAGAATGAATTCAGACGCGGAAAAAAAGACACAAAGATTTTCAAAGCATAATTTTTTAAACGATGTTAAGTCTACCATAAGGGTTTTAGAAAAGCGTTTAATATAATCAACACGAACACGATTCACCCTTAGTTTGTAGGGCAGTCTTTTGTTTTGTTAATAAAAGGGGTTAAGGTAAAACGTCAAAGTTAGGGTGCGGTTGCACCGGCTGTAATGAGGTACGGAATGAAAGCCTGTGTTCAGTTGACATGAAAAGAACCGAACTCATAAAGCACAGAGTAAGCAAACTTTATGAAAGCTTTTTTATTTAATTTTCAGTTTCATTGAATGGAATATTTCGTTATTTTCCTTAACGAACTTGAAATACATCTGAATTCGAGTCTGTTGGCAAAGCGTAAAATATTTTATTCAGAAGAAATGTAAAAAGATAACATTAAAAACAAGATTTGTACATTTATGGCCACTAAAACCTTTTTATTTTATATTCATATAATACTTATCTTACTAAAATTATAAATGCAAATGTTTGGATGGATGGATGTTTATTTGAAGGTATCTCCAGAGCATTTTCATAAATCTATTATAAGTAAAATTTGGCATAGATGTAGAACATAGATGTAAACTCATTGGCTATTTTTAAGTTAATATTAAGTTTTTTTAATACTCGCAGGCTTAGTCGTGGGTGACAACTAGGGATTAAATAATTTTTAATATCGGTATAGAAAACTTTATCATACACCTAACTCCTGATAATAATTGTCTAGAAAAAACTAAGTTTTATTTTAATTTATAGACTGTAATAAGATTAAAAAGGTATTCTTAATTACACGTATTGCGCAAAAGGACGTAAACAGTAAAAGGAAGTGTAAAAGTCAAGTGAAAGCCTTGCAAGTGCAGAGTTACATAGCTTATCACTTTGTGCGACAACAATGGGGGATTACTCACTCATTTCATTTCACGCTTCAAACAACTAAACCTTCGTAAGCAGTTCAAATGCAGCGTTTACGTCCACTTTGAATTGGCTGGAAACGGAAATTAATGTATCGGGTAACAGTGCTTGTTAATGTATTCGTGTAATTTTTATTCTTGTACACATTGCATAATCTGTAACTGTGGGTTTCGATTGTCAAAATATTTGTAATAATGTATTTTTTATTCTCTTTAAATACAACAGTATTTTTAAAAACAAACTTTTTCAGGAAAGGTTTTTCTTTGCAATATTAAAATTTGTACAAAATCATAATTACGTAACAGGTTCAAGAATTATTAATCATTATTTTTTAACACTGAAGAACCATAGAGAAATTTTTTATGTACTAAATTACTAGAAATATCTATTACCAATAACATTTTCCTTTAACAAACGGAAAATATGCGTAAAACATACGGGTATTCATATTATCATGATTGATAACGGCCATTATATAGTAGCTTCAGTCTTCGCAAACGTCAGACAATTTTATGGCCTTACAAATGGCGATATAAGCCGCGCCCGTGTCAATATCGCCACAAAGGTACTACCGAAGTGGCGCAGGTAAAATACACGACCTATATTCATAACTAAGTTTATAAATTATGGGCATTTGAATTTTTAATATGATGAAAATGTTACAAAACGTGTTTCTACGAGCATAGTTTAACTTCGTTAATCCATGTTGTGTCTTTATAATTATAAATGTACATAAACTATTGTTTTTCAATCTACCAAGAGGGATTTAATACTTCTTTTATGCTTGCTATTTAGAAATATTGTTAAGAATTATTTCACTTTAGAATAGTAGTTAGTAGTTGAGAATAAGTTATGGCGCTAAACACTTATCAATATTGTATAATAAGTACAAAATTCTTCAATCGCACTCATTTCTCTTATCAATACTTCAAATTATCATCGTTATAATATAGAAATAATTATACACGTATGTAATTAGCAGCTGCAGGCGTCTTTGTCCACACGGAAAAACATGCTAATAATAAAAATAGACTATGTCATCCGGGGATAGTGTAGCTTCTCAACAGTAAAAGAATTTTTCAAATCGGTTCAGTAGTTTCGGAGCCAATTGCAAAGAAATAATGAAAGGTATCCTCTTTATAATATTTATATAAATAACGGTCGCTATAGTCAGCTAGTTACTAATATGTAACCATTTTAGAATAATGATTTTTTTATATAATAGTACTTGTGTTAATCGTGCAATTATTTTTGGTAGCACAACCGTTGAATTTTTACAGAACTAATATTCAGTTTCTGAAACTGTTCATAATAATCTACATTTGTACTTCGCATAAGTACGTAGCTATTCGGTAACTTCTGAATTGGAGCACAGACTCTACTTATTCGTTGACTAAAACACTAGTAATTTGAAAAGACATAAACGAAATAAAAAATTGTCTACATATTTAAAGGTCTACTTGATAATGTATTCGGATGACTTTAATTATTGGGGTAAAATAGAGAATATCAGAACATTATAAAAATGGAACATGATTTATAACTTGGAAATTACTAAAAAATATGTCTCAGCTGTAAACTTGATACGAAGATTGTATTTGCTGATTGTAAAAAAGTATTCATTTAAATAACATTAATCTCCGAAACCGAGGAACATTTTAAAGATACTACGACGACGACAACATTATAAAATTCTCCAAAATGGTGTTGGCATTGAATCTAATTTCGCCCCCGCTGATGTCTAACCGTATTACCCCATTTAATGTTCTGTTGACATTAAATCTTTTAAGTTGAAATTTTCAAGTGACGGGGACATAGCACTTAGCTGTTATAAAATATATTTAAAGGACAAGTAACAGAATTATTTAAGTAAAATGTTTTTTTTTTTTATTATCAACATTTTTCTTTGGAAATATGTTTAATAGACAGTAAAATACTAGCTTCTTTTATTTCATTTAACTCTGAGTGTATGTAATATCGTATTCGCGTTGCTTATCATCATCAGCTCACTATACGCCCCCACCGAGGGTATCGGAACCTACCCTAAATTAAAGATGATCAGGACATAGTCAACCAAGCTAGCCAAGTGCGGGTTGGTTGACTTCACAAATATCTTTGAATTTCTTCTCAGATATGTGCAGGTTGCATCACGATGTTTTCCTTAACCGTAAGAACGTCGGATAAATGTACATATGTTATTTGGAAATCGAAAAACACAAAGAACATAACATTTTTCGATTTCTGTCTGTCCATAGATGTGTATTTCTCCAAAAAAGTTGGACCGTTTTAGATATGTGCATGCGGATATAGGATAGGATATTTCTGCGATAACGAGGTCGCTGGCAACCACTAGTGTATAAGCATTTAAGATTTACAAAGTAAACATTTAATTTACAAAATATTTCTTTTACAAAATAAAATAAAAAGCAAAGTTCCATTAACGTAAAAAACCTCGCTTATTAAAACGGAAAGAGATTTAAGGCTCCTAAGAAATTAATTTTCAATCCTTCGTTCTCTCCGTTTCTCCTCTGGTTATAATTTAATGTGTAAGCAGCCATGAGAGAAATCCATAAAATCTAATGGGGAAAATTCCAGAGCAAAGAGCCTTTCCAAATTCAAATTAGTGGGTATATTAAAAAGCTTTCTTTATTAAATCATTGTATTATATCTTTTGGTTATATTAGTTTATTTTAGCTTTTCCCGTCAATTTTATTTGTTACGTTCCTATAAATTAAATGAGTTAACCGATTTCTCAACTTAGTACTTTAGTTACTTTACTTAATTCTTAGGTATTAGATACATTTTTGCCATTTTAGTTAGTTTCGTGATGATAATATTTTTTTACATACCGAATTTTACAGTCACCTTACATAATTATGTTTATCAATGTTTTATTATTTATAGCTGTTCCCCGCGACTAAGTCCACGTGGAATTAAAAAAAAAACTAAATGAGTAGCCTCTATGTTCTTCCAGACAATTTTCTACATCTGTGCAAAATTTCATCAAGATCCGTTGAGCCTTTCTGGAGATACCTTCAAACAAACATCCATCTATCCATTCATCCATAAAATGCGAATGCGAATGTTTAAATAAACATTGGCATTTATAATATTAGTAAGATTTCTAAGTAAATATTATAAATAAAGTGAATATAAAAAATAACCTTATGACGAGGAAGCTTTACTTTAAAGTTGTTCAAACTAACCTAATAGATGTAGGTATAATTCATGCGTGCGGTAAATTATAATGACAATCGATTGAACGAGTGAATGGTAAGTGAATGAGGAGTGAATGGTGTGCGCCCTGATTGCTTCGTTAGCTAAGCGTGTAGCCGTGTGTAGTGTAACATTTACCCCATGTGTGTATATGAGTTCAATAAACTTATCATATGTATTAATAGACGGACAGTTTTTATACTTTCCATCCACAAACGTGTGGGCATGGTATATTACAAGCCATTGACTTACCCTACTGTGGATTTCAGTAAATCTAAAATTTTCCATAGCTAAAAGTTCAAAGTCTAATTTCAATAATATTAAAAACTAAAAAACAAATTGTTATGACGGTGAACTTTATAAATTTATAAATTTAAAATGAATTCCAATTCCAATTCCAATTCTTTATACTTTTACGCGTTTTTGAGAAAAAGGGTCTTGACAGACAGACGGACGGACAACAAAGTGATCCTATAAGGGTTCCCTTTTTTCCTTACCTCATAGGAAAAAAGGGCCCTACAAAAATAGATAGTAGTCGATTCGCAGACCTAGTGAATATGCATATAAAGTTTCATAAAAATCAGTTAAGCTGTTACGTATTAGTACGATAACTAATATTGTGACACGAGATACTTCTTACTTATATTATAAATGCGAA